TCTCTCTCTCTTTCTCTCTCTCTCTCACACACTTACACATACACACACACACACTGCACAAAACTGCACTCTTTCAACTCGAGAGCGCTGGAACGTTTGTTTACACTGGTATATCACGGGCCGCCACGCGCTAACACAAGGTTGCGTCCAAGTCTTGCCCGCACGCGAGATCGGCAATTGAAACATCTTGAGCGTATACATTTTTGTGAAATATATTCCTAACGCGTTGTTGCTTGATTGAGAGTTCGTCGTTTTCCCTTACACTAGCGAGTCTGAGCCTGAGCTCAGTGTAAGGGAAAACGACGAATGGTCGATCGGTCAAGGATCACTGCTTTGTTTTGTTTTATCTCATAGGATGGAACGCTTGAAGCAGGCCAAAATATTAAATATTCATCACTGTCGTCACTGACTAAAGCCGGCTTACTTAAACCAGCAGTGGATGCTCCGTTCTAAACGAAGCTTGAGTGCCGTGAACGTCTTCAACTGTGCCTGCAAACTGCTTTTAGGGTCCTGTGAACGTAGCCTGCCAACTATGTTCACTGCGCTGTGAACATAGCCACTGCGTTTAACCTTTACACAGAGCTGCCAACCTCACGCGAAAATTACATTGTTATTCTTCTTAGGTTTTTTTTCTACTTTTGAACATAGATATCTAATTATAAAAATAAGACTTTTTCATAGCTCTGGATCTATTGCCTGTTGTACGTCTTTTTCATGTCTGCGGCCTAGCATTAGGATTTTAGATATCATACTCTTCTGCTTCTGCAAATTTCTCCCCTAAATTAACTTTAATTAAGCATTATTCTGTATCCTCTTGTCCCTTCTGGTCTCATGTCTGAGCGTGGCTATCGCTTTTAACTAATCTAGATCTAGAATCTATCATGCGCGTACCGCGTGAGCTACGCAACGATTATGAAGTGGGGTGAGCGTGCCGGTCTGCTTGTGTCTGTGTACACTGGCACTACATTTCTTGTCTCTATCACCAACACATACTTTATACTAGCAACAGTAGGCCTACTGATGTTTACCTTGTTCATCCAATGAAATTGCAGTAAATTTTGTACAATAAGTAACAATATGTATGATTTTTTTTACTACTAGGTCGTTGAAATTTACTATTTTAGATCTTACTCTTTTTTACCAAATCTTACTCTTTTTCGCCATCAATTGTACTCTTTTTACTTAATGTGGGTTGGCAGCTCTGCTTTACAAGTAAAAAATAATTATGATTCGTATTTAGTGTTTTGCTGAAGTAAGTGTAGGCCTAATTATAACATTTAAAACAGAACTTTCGTTTCTGGGTATATTGAAGTATTTATATTATATTATTAACATTGAGTAGTATGGGGAGCGGATGTGATCATGAAACAAACTTCTACAGATTCTCATAGATCACATTTTGTTTACATTTACAGATAAGTAAAAAATGATCTATTCAGTATTTCATGTAAATTAAGAATCAAATTTTTTCTGACTTTTTTCTTGTCTAGTAAAAAGGTGAGTGAGGCATTGAAAAGATTAAATTTTCTCATTCTTTCGTGCTATTATTTTCCAAAAGGGTGAAGGGGCCTGGGATGAATTCTGGTGAACAGAGGTTTCAATAAATTAAGTCAGTTTTCTGCAGTCCAACTTGCCTTTCTTAACTCTTTATCTCCGGCACCCCCCTGGGCGGTGCCACTGTCTGCCTGTGTCTGTCTCCGTCTGTCTGTCTGTCTGTCTCTGTCTCTCTCTGTCTTTCTGTCTCCCTGTCTGTCTGTCTGTCTGTCTGTCTCTCTCTCTCTCTCTCTCTCTCTCTCTCTCTCTCTCTCTCTCTCTCTCTCCTAGAATATTGTATATCTTTGGAGGTACATACAAAGAACATGTTCCTTAATATTTGAGGAAGATCACCACATCTTATAGGGAAAAAAATTTAAGCATTGAAAAGTAGATTTTGAAGGAGAGGGAGGCACCCCGAAAGTCCCCCGATTTGGCTCAAAACTGTGGAATTTAAGTTGTAGGCATTTTTAGTTTCGTCAGCCTCTCGTACAACTGTTTCATCATGTAAGAACCCCCTAAAGGCTTATTTCTTCCCATACTAGGCATGTTTGTCGCCACCATTTCGTCATAAAGTCAATCTTTTATTTTTTTTATCGCCCGTTTTCTGAAAACATGGTTTTTCTATACTTTTAAAAAATAACTCCACCATTTTTCGTCCAATCCTCATGGAATTTTTATAGAATGAAGAAGACGTAATGCTAAAAATTTATGAGATGAATTTTTGATATGGAATAGTTTTTTGTTGGTAGTGTTTGGAGTGTCGATTTTCACGGATTTTTTACAAATGTGAATACTACCTCAGGAAAAAATTCATTAAAAATTTTCTAGTTAGAAAAATTCATCTCACGGATTTGTAGCTCTATTGTTTGCCAAGATGCATGCCATAGAACAATTTATTTCCATGAGAAATAAGTGCAGTATTAATTACGTAAGACTTTCAACAAAATCCAATATGGCCACCGTATCCATGGAAACTATTTTTTTTTCTCTCAAATTTGATTTCGGATTTAAAGACTCCTTACTATGCTTGTTATGTGTCTGAAATTTGGTAACTATTGATCCAGTAATAAGCAAGATAACCTTCAGCTGCCGCCCCCTCTAACAAGAAGATTTTCATGTATGTTTTGTTTTTTATATATATCGTCGGCAAGCTGTTAAAATGTACAAGCCTAGAAAACCAACTTTTACAGGAAAGAGGAAAAAACTGTTGCATTTTTTGCATAATAAAATAAATAATTGTACCTTACTTCTTTTACTTGTGTTTTCAACCTTTAGAGTTTGAATTTTAAGGAAATATTTCTTGAGCATGCAATCAATACAATAGATTAAAAAACTGCAATTTAAAAATGTGCCAAAATTTTGGTCTCAGTACATTTTAACAGCTGGCTGACAATTCTCATCTTGCTGTGTTATGTAAATCTTTTAAGGAAATTCTTGACATTGCTGACCTGGTAAGTTGCTACTTGTGCAAATTGAATGACCTCATTTGTCACTTTTGTGTCATAGAAAGATAAGAAAAACAGGCCAAAACTAGCCCCTGAGAAAGGACTTGAGGTGTCAACGTCTTTAAAAAATATTCTGGTTTTTTTTAATGTTCGCATTTGCACTGCTATTATCAGTTATAATCTCTTGATGAAGTGCTCTGGGAATTGACACATGAATTCAAAATATTAATGACCTTCACAAATATTTTTTTTGTCCTGGGAAAATCATACCCATTACTGATTTCATCTTTTTGTAAATTGTATAAAATGACCTTGCCAAAATATTCACAATTCAGAATGGTTTTCACTACTGTACTGAGGTCACTACGTTCAACAGCAATGACGATTTCACTTTTGCACTCACATTTTTCTCTCCACTGCATATTTTCGTACTTTCAAACCCCCTAAAATTATGTTTCTTAAAAATGTCAATGGCTAAATGCCTTTGTTGCTGTGGAATTGCATTTTCAGGTCGGAAATTTTTTTATGGTCCAAAAAGATCAAAGGAATGTGCTGCTTTGAACTAACTATTTAACATACATGAAAATCTAAAGGTCAGTCAACTTGTAAGACTGTGTATGCAGTGCAGAAAAGCAGGGCAATACTACAGAATAGACATTTTTAGATAAAATTGCAGGGAACTGTGAACATGAGAAAGTGACCATAATATAAATTTGAAAAAACAACTTCTTTTAGTGATTATTGTCCTCATTTAAAACGCCTGTTCCTTTATTTGTATGCAATACTTGTTGAAGTGGAGTGAATAAAAGCAAAGTGCATTTTAATTTTTGGTAAGTTTTATATACAGTTACAAAGGATGCAATCCAAAAATAATCCACTGCGATGCAATTCTGAAGTACTTTTGGAATTGGGCCTAGGTCAATACTTACACATGTAAATTATTAGAAAAAAAAATACAGTCGAACTTGCCATGACAGCCACCTGTATAATAGGGCAACCTGTACAAACGGCCACTTATTACCATTTCCCCCCTTGCGTTTTTTTCTATATAATTTCACTATGTAAAATGGTCACCTCTCTAACACGACCGTGGCCGCCTTATTTTACCGACATTCAACCAAAAAAACTTGTCTGAGATGGCCAGGCAAATCTCTCATTGCCTGACGCTTTGTTGTAAATTATATAATGGCCTGCTGTGGACAAGCCGTCATAATCCATCCACCTGTCGATATTGTTAGTCCTTCCATTGATCATGTTGCTTTGGTCACTCACATTGTTTACCCATTGTTGACCAATACGTAACAATAAATTTTCAACTGCTTGTTAGGGAAGCATGTGATTCGTCATAACCTATAAGCCCCCGCCTACAACTCATCTGTACAAACCATAAGTGAAATGAGAGGTCACTATTTAGGCCCACCCAGTCTGTAAACCCACTACATATACATGACAAAGGACATCAACACAGATTTGCGAAAGAAGCGTCGCTCGTTTGCCGAGTGGTAAAGACCCATTTGTATGTTTTACTGTGGTACAAAGTCTTCCTCATCCGTCATATTTCATTTTGTTTTAACCTTACACGAAACCATAATAAAAAAACAAAACAACTAAAAACAAAAAACCCTGACTCTTTCCTACCACCTTCCAAAATAACCCCCCCCCCCTCAACCAAAAAGACGTTTTAAATTAGCCTTACGGCATTCGTAATGCTGCTACCTCCTCCAGTTGAGTTGGGACCTCAGAAGTAAATGGTGCGTTTTCTTCATTTTGATCAGTCCGGTGTATGATGGCCACTTGTCTCCTTAACAATGTGTGGCAGTCTTCCACAGGTTTGACTGTACTCAAAATTTGTGTCTTTTTCTTTTTTACATGACAGGGGCAATCTGCGCTGAGTGTTACATTTGTGGACATGATGGAGAGGGAAGACAGTACGCAGAGTCTGCAAAAGGCCACAGCCTTGTTGGAACGGTCAGCGTCAACATCATCAGAAGGTTTTAATGTGGCCAAAGTGCTGGTCATATACTCAGGTGGTACCATTGGCATGGTGAATAAATCTGGAGGTAAAAATATTTTCATCTTCTCAAAATATTGTGTGTCTGTTGCAAGGAAGAGAGGGAGGTAAACGGTTAGAGAGATGGACAGATAGGGGAGGGAGAGGAGTGTTTGAGAGCATGTATGTGCATGTGTGCGATATTAGGAACACACATTGTCCACTGTGTTGTGCATACCTAGGAGTCTCATGTTGTGAGATAAGTCAAATCTGTCATGTTGTAATAAACGTGCAGGATATAGTTTCCCTTTGTTTCCCCATGTCACATTCTTTGGCTTTTCTCAACAGATCTGATGATTCTGTGTCACTTCTTACCTTTGTCTTGAATTGAAAGAAATGCCATTTGTTTTGAAATGAGCTTGGAAGTTTTTATGATACCTTTCTTTTTGTACATTTTACCTTTCATATGATCTAAACTGGTTGAAAAATGAAAGCTGTTGCGAGTTCATCAGTATTCTTTATATGGTATTGTCTGAAGGTTGATGTACAAACAATTCGTGCCACTGTCTGTGGTGTAATGGTTAGGCACATTGCCACTGCATGCAGAAGACATGAGTTCAATTCCTTTGTGGGTAAGTTTTTTTTTTCAACAAATACCTCTTTCTATCTGCTGGGACTTTGTATCCCTCTCACCCAAGGTTGGCCCTGTTAAACAAGATTGAGGCAACAAGATATGAGATCTAAATTGTGTTGATGATGGCGTAAAACTTTACAATTAGTTTTTCTTTTTGTAACATTTCATTTGAAGATATAATATTAACTTTTCAGGATACGAGCCTCAGCCGAACTGTATGATAGAGAAACTGAAAGCTATGCCAATTTTCCATTGCCCGGAGAGTCGGAGTTACTTGACAGAAAAGGGGATGGAGGACTTCCTCATTCTTCAGTAAGTTTTCTTTATCCTGAATCTTGCTGGATTTTTTTGTTTGTCAGGAAATATTTTACTTTCTTTTATAATAAAGGATTAAGCTTAAAAGACACAATTTCTTGCAAGAGCTGTCTCTTTTTATTTTTTTTTTAAACTATAGAAACTCTTATCATGGTTTAGTTTTCATGCTTGGCTTGCTTTTAGAATTCTTCTATTGTAGTTAGTCAGGTTTGAAAAGTAGCCCTTTTTACTTTCAGTCAGATACTCCTTTCCTCCTTTAATGTGTTATCTTTGGTTTACTAGCTGTACTGTAGTATAATATTTGTGTTGCATTGTGGTGAAATCAGGCACTGGTCAAAATAACATTTCTTCGACCATTGGGTAATTTTGATTAATTTTTAAATTTTAGCTCAACATCTTTTATGCCCAATTGAAATCCTGGTTCTATGTGGATTTTACTGAAAATGTTGACCAAAGGCACAAAAAATGTATATTTCCAGTCTCCAAAGGCAATTAAGCTTTACAATTCACCAAACTTTGGTGACAATTTTCTCACTAACTTAATCTTTGACACCAGGCAACCCATACCTTCAATCGCAAATGTCTTGACCTCTTTTCAAGACAATGGGTTTGGTTTTTTTTCATCACAAGCTAAGCAAATAAATAGGCTTTGATATTATACCAGTGTCTCCATATGCCCAATAATTGAAGAGCACCTGATTTCACCACGTCATGACGCGTTTATTTACTGTTTTCATTCAAATGTTGCACAAAATATAATTTTCTCGGAAAAACTTTCATTGCACGCTTATTTGCCCTTTGATTTTCATAATGTAGAATCATTTACAAGGGATAAAATGTTATTTTTATTCTTTCTGTTGTTTCAATGAAGTATGTTTTTGAACCTTTGACTTTCTGCTACATTTTTCAAGTATGCCATTGTAGTCCATGTACCTTATCACACAGCAGCGTTTAGCCCAACCCTTGTGGCTTTTGAAGTGTGTCTGTTCAACAACATTTCAAATTAAGACTCTATACAACATTGCAACAATACTGTTTTGAGCTAAAACTCAGGTGGAAGCATTTGAAGATGGCAGTTGATAGCATCCTTCGCCCCTCACATATTTCTGGTTTCGTAAACATGTTTCAATATTGGGGGGGGGAGGGGGGGTTTGTTTGAGTTTGTACTTTCAGCAGAGACAAATAAATAGATTTCTTTTATAATTATAAGATGTTGATTGCATTTTTAACTTGGCATAATGTTTGCTTTTGTTCTCATGACAACCGCAGTTTAGATTTCTTCAAGAATAAATAAAATGAGTCTACTTTCCACTCCTGGGTAAATACAAAAGCCGGATTACTTTTTTTTTAAAGCATTTTTGTTACAAAATTAGCTGAAGTTCTGTTGGAGCTTTCGGATGGCTTTGTTTGCAACATTGTACCCAGGGACCGTTTTCAAAGATTATGAGTAGAATCTCTTTTTGTACAATGTAGTTTTGCAGTCTATTCTGTCTCATCAATCTGACACATATTTGTAGCCTTGCAGCAAAAGCCACTTGACTGGAAACTGAAAGGTTACTGGTTACTGGTTTGATTCCTCA